AACAACTACTATAGGATAAAGAAAATTGAAAATAAATACAGTGTGGACATTGATTGAACTATTCTACCTGGTGAGAATTAAAATATCCACACATTTTGATTTGCGACTTTTTCGGTTTTTTGATAATATTGGATCGAAATTTTTAAAAACCCGAACCTCGCTTACCATGTCTTTCAAACTACTAACCACTTTAGAGCATAATAGAAACAATTAGCGGAATGAAAGGAATTAAAAAAAATAGTTGTAAATATTACTTATATGACGCTTATAATTTTTTTACCCAAAATAAACTTAAATACGTTGGTAGTCAATCTACGGACTGCATTTTTCGTTTTTCTAATATTTCCACGTAAACTACTACCACGTCACATGGATATATGAATCAATGGGAACTTCTCTAATGTGCAAAATTCGTGTTTTACTTCCCATGCCTCTGGTGACGAGGTATTGTAATCGCAAAAAATTTCGAAAACAAGATATGTTTTTTGAATGTCATGACATGTACATCATAAAAAACCATATCACTCATTTCCGTCTGTCTGTTGGTCTGCCTGTCCGCAAATCCTTGACCCTTCTGCAATTTGGAACGCCACGATTTAGTGGCGGCAGAGCTAGAGGCAAAATACGAATTAAATAATACTTCGCCATTTGTATCAGTAACATTATTGTAGGGGTTTAAAATGATGGCTAGACGTTGTACAAGGTGGCGACGGGTGGTTTCAGAGCGAGGACGTTAGTCATGTTAGTTCATGGGTGCCGCAGGAATTCTTCTTAGGGGGACCGATCGTCGGCAAGAGATAACTTCTTTTAAAAGTGCATCCGCCTCCACAACCTTTTGATCAACGGGATTCAAAAATTTTCTCTGGGGAGAGGCGAGGCAAATACTAACAACCCTCAAGATTGTACATAAAATCATGCTAAGTATGCAAGTTTTAAGGTACAGCCAGAGTCTCACCAAATCACTTGTTAACTGATTTCTAAGCTGAGTAGATAATCGAGAGAAAAGAAATGTTGGCCTTACCCAGTTTATCTAACCTATCTGCAAAAATACCTGAGGCTTATGATGTTGAACAACTAAGGCTGCAGCTTTGAATGAGGTCCCATAATCTTCAGCTTTATTGAGGGTTCTGTATGTGCGATAGTTTTCTGCAACTCAATCCTAAAAGATAATCTTTTCAAGATAACAGTGACATCTCAATATTTTGGACGGATATGAAGTACGCACATAAGAAAGCTGGCTAGACATGGTCAACTACAGGCTGATATCAAATCAAATATTAGTAAAATTATAGACAAAAAATATGAAAAAACGCCTAATAAGCTTTCTTGTCAAACAAATCACTTTGGCAACACTTACAAATACACTTACCATCTAGTAAATGAAAAAAGTCTATCCATATGAGTTTTTATAACTAGCAAAATCATTTGATTCGCCCTTAAAGCTTATGACTGTAGATAACCTATCTACACAACAGTACACATTGAGTAAAATTGATAATGCCATCAGCGAAAATAAAACGGTTGCGTGTGGAGTGCCGCAAGAAACAGTACTTGGACCCACACTGTTGAACTTATACTCTATAGATATAGGGGGCAAAGTCTTAGGTTTTGCTGATGACACCGGAATCATATATGAAGATTCTTCTTGGGGTGCGTAGGGGTACCAGCGTATTTGTATAGTAGGTTAAGCATTATGACGTCCAAGGTAGACATTGAGCGGAAGACTGACAATAAATATCTCAGCATACAGGGTGTAAACGTTATGGTAGTCATTATTGAAATGGGTAATAGGGGCGGTCAAAACAAGTCAAAAAGTTCATATGACCCATGGTCCAAAAGTCAATAGATTTTTGTCTAAATGACTTTATAGTTTACAACTTTAAGTGCTTTATATCGACCGCAATCACCACAATCTTACTAATTTTTATAATCTAATCTAAAACGTTATTAAATTGGGTAATTAACAAATAAATGGCATCAAGTTTTTCTAAGTTAAGCAAAATTTGTAGTCAGCAAGTAAGTAAGTTTCATTAATTTAAATATTTAAAAAAACATGACAACAGCGCGTCGGTCATTCATCACTCTTATCGAACCAGCAATCGATCGCAAACGGTAACAGTGGTTAGTTATTGTTCGCGTACGTCGTCGTGTTTATTTACAATATTCTCGAATCAAGAGTTCGCCGACATGTTGTTAGTTTACGGTGAAGCTCGTCAGAATTCAAATCGCGACAGATTTCGCCAACGGGTACACCCAGACAGAAAGACATTTGAGAAAGTGTACCTAAGACTTCGAAATACAGAAAGTGTTCAGCCCACTAATATTCGCACTCGTGAAAGACAGGTTACTGTAAAGCAGGAGGAATAAATTTTAATTATCGTGGAAATCAATGCAGATCACACGGGAATAAGGCCGCCGCGTAGGACTATCGCGTACCATAGTCCATAGAATCCTACGGGAAAATTTGCTTTATCCCTACCATACACAATGAGTGCAGGCCTTGTTACCAAAAAACTATCCTCGCAGACTAACATTCTGTCAGTGGTTTTTGCACAAAAACATTGAAAATCCGGATTTTTTAGAAACATTCTAGCGACGGACGAATGTACTTTTACGCGAGACGGGATATTAAATTTCCATAATACTCACACGTGGGCCCAAGAAAATCCCCATACCATTCGTGAAGGTCATTTCCAAAAACGTTTTAAAATAAACATTCGGGCGGGTACCCTTTCGAGTTACCCCCAAAGTTGTTAGGAGAAGGATACCTTAGCTTTCTAGCCAATAACCTACCAGAACTTTTGGAACAGACCTTAGAAAAAATGTCATTATAACGGAGACAGAATTTGTGGTTTCTTCATGACGGGGCACCACCACACATTATTAGAGGCGTCATTCAGTATTTGAATGAACATTATTCAAATTGCTGGATCGGTTGAAATACTCCTGATCCTAGAAAATTTCCAGCAAGATCTCCTGACCTCATTCCTATGGATTTCTGGTATTGGCGAGAACTTAAAGGGATGGTTTATGGAGCTGGACCAATAACAACTGAAGCACAACTTCGCGAAAAAAAATTAATGAGGCTGAAATAATAAATGGACAACTTGGAGGACCTAGAGTAAGAAGAAGCTGGGTTCGTCGAAATGAGGCTTGTGTGGAAAGTGGAGGACGACATTTTGAACACCTTCTTTGAATGCAAAAAAGTGGAGTGTGGGTTTTAAGAAGAAAAACAATGTATGTACACACCAGGTGAAGCGCTGAGACAGTTAGTGTCCGTTTTTTTAATTGTTTGCGTTTTACGAGTACATTTTCAAATAATGAAATAATACCTAAGAGCCAAAAATAACAAACTCCATCTTTATTTACACTACGTTCCGTCGTAATTTGCGTCTAGCATTGCGACGTTGTCAGATTAAGTCGCTTTTCTCTTAACCCCCTCTAACACATATTTAAATAATGGCTATCATAACGTTTACAGCCTGTATATCTGAATGACAATCTGAGGACGTATGTTTGTTTGCTGTTAGCAAAATAGGAGAAATTAGCAAGTATTTCATCAAAACTATTTATCATGCTCTTGCACAATCGCATCGGTCTTATCGAATTATCGAATGGTATACATCAACCACGTATTTAAAGATAAAATAAAACATTTCATCAAAATCAACTTAAAAAAATAGAGATTATATCCCTTCGACAGCCTGTTTCAAGAGTCTAGGCTTTTAGATATTAGACAACTATTTGTTCACATCATGATATTTTATTATCAATACAAACGCTACCATAATAAGATTGTTCATAAGTATGACACTCGCCAGAAAGCAATGTTCCATATCATACCCAAGCCGAAAAATTCCTTGATGTAACCAACGTTCGTGGATATATCGTTGCCCAAAATTGTACAATTGTTTATCTCTGGAACCTAGAGTTATAAATTCTCAATCAATGTTCAAAAGTAGGTTGTCAAAATAGATCTCTTCTATTCCTAGAAGTCATCTGCTCGACTTTGTGGAAGGAAAACGAGTATTTTTAAACTTAAGATTCTTAACTACTGTGACTGTCTGTGACCACTTTTACCTTTTTGAAAATGTTTAGTGTATCGTTATTGCTGCTTTACCAGCGTTTTTTAATCATTTTATAAGTTATACTTATCTCTTATCTGTTGCGTACTTTAATAGCTTTTTATTGTTGAGGAACAAAAATCCTGTGATTTTAACTACCGAATTTTACTTGTTTCTCCAAGACTTCTGCAAAACATTTTCGTATTTTCTTAGTTTATTTTTGTGCATTGTTATAGTGTTATTAATGTTTTTAATATTAGTTCATCTCAATGTTTCTCTGGTGAAACTAGATCATGTTAGCACAAATGGCAGAGGGAACAGCGACACCACACACAAGTTATACCTTCGAGGATTTCTGTTTGTGCGTAGAAATACGTTGATTTCGATTGGAATTATCATTATTATAAAATATATTGTATTTTCGCAAATAGCCATAGGCTGGTCACAGAGATACCCAAATGCTTTACCACCAAACAAAGACAAAGATGAGAAGGGACAGAGATAGCCATAACCTCAGAGGCCTAAAGCGAGGGAAGAACTCGTCTGCGACCCTGCCTGTTCCCATCTTTCGACGCGCTTAGGCGCGGTCGTTTGAAATATGTGACAGCCGGATAAAGAAACTGGATGTGCTTTCAACGGTTAGAAAGAAACATGGCCCTCCAAAATGGGAGCAGCCGGCTCTACACGAATACGCTTTTGTGTTCACATTTCATTTTCCTTCTTCCTTTAAGTGAGATCTTACGTACGAATTTACTCATGTAAATCTTTTTTACTGCTGTATAATAGGTGTACCGTGTCAGTTTTAAATCTGCCAGAAGATATATGTTTGCTATACGCTAATTTGATACGCATAGAGTATTTGTACCAAAGATGTTAGGTATCGCAAAACTATGAAATGAATTTGTTCGGTTCACGACGTCATTTTAAAATGGTGTAATGAAGAGTAAGTAATGTAAAGTTATCACTTTGTAAATTTAAACTCCAAAATCTATTATTTCATAAAAGCATACCTGATACAAAGAAAGAGACATACGAGTATTATTTTTCACTACTAACTCGAAAAGTCGCCATTATTTACTTTTATATATGTATAGCTTCTTGGGCTTGTTTAGCAGAGAATAAATTTACTCGTTTTTGAAAACATACAGATCAAACAGAGACTTTCAAGGTATCCAAATACAGAAGGACGGAACAAAGAATGAAAAAATAAGAGGAATATTATTAAAGGCATCGAACCTGTATCACAGCACAAAAAAATCGTTTATGTCATAAAAGAGATCAGTAGAAAACCCAAGATGGCTGTAAGTAAAACCAATTTCAGACCTATTCTGACTTTTGGAAGGGAATGCTGGACATTAACACATTGACTGCGAACTGGGATGAGGATACCCACCTCAGAAACTGAAATACTTTTTTGGAAGCCGGCAGAGAGCGTCGAAAGACGCCGTTCGCCTCCCACCACAGGAGCGGAGGACGTCTTTTGACGCTGTTCGCACTGAACGTGTTAAACGATCGACAGAAGAGCAAAATACAAGCACTAGACATGAAAGAGCGGTAAAAGGAGTAACCAGGATGGGCAGTATCAGGAACGAGATTACAAGAAGTGAGCTAGATCCGTCTTAAATAAAATAAAGGAAAAACAGTTAAAGCGGATTGGGCATCTAATACGTATGGGAGAGTCTGTACCAGTCAAAGGGATATGAGACGCTAAGGTTATGAAGAAAACAATCAGATGGAGGCCAAAGAAGTCCTGGAGCGATGAAATTGTCTCATTAGTGACACAGAGATGGACAGAACCTGTACGAAAGGCCAGGGATAAAAAGACTTGGGCGAAATTGGTGCACAATGTTTCAAAACAATGAAAATACTAAATGAAAAAGTTGTTATACTCGTACCTTACACCTTCGGATATCTAAGGTCGAGGATTATATACAGTATCCGTTTTAATTGTTTACTACTCGTCAACACAGTCTATTTTATTGGTGAGGAATTGAAAGATATTATTGTTGATTATATTTGTTTATCCCATCATTTTGACAGCTGGAAACTGCAATATTTGAAAGTCTTCTTTCTTTGATGCAGATATTGCGTCGGCTTTGCAGGACTGTAAAGATATCAGATATACTATCTAATCAAATAAAATGTGGTAATACGCCATCGTCAGAAGTGAAAAAAACTTTTGCGGAGAAGGCCATTATAATGGGATACCTAATTTCTCCACCAAGATATGCTATGGACTATAAATATATCAAAATAAAATCTGCAGAATACGTAATATGCTAAGTGACATATACATCCGAACACCCAGTTTAAATGGTTTTATTTTAATAAAATTTTGTATAAGTACTTAATGAAGCATAATAAGTAAATGATAAAAATTTCAAAATGATTGCACTGCTTTAAAGCCCTTTGACCTTTAATAATGTGTGGATGCACCCTGATGTGCTACGCATCCTCCAACGCGCCTAAGCATGCTTCTGATCAGGTGGTCAATGTCCTCCTGTGGTATCTCATTCCAGGCAACCACCAACTCCCCTCGAAGTGCTTCTAGAGTCTGAGGAGGACGTTGCAAATTGAGCAATCTCCTACCCATCATATCCCACACGTGCTCAATTGGGGATAAGTCGGGAGATCTTGGTGGCCATGGTAACAATGTGACATCATTATGTTGAAAGAAGTCTATTGTGACTCTTGCAACATGTGGTCGGGCATTATCTTGTTGGAAAGTTGGATCTGCCAGGGTGTCAAGATAGAGTAAAAGATGGGGTTCTAGAACTTCGTGGATATAACGCTGCGCGTTCATGTTACCTCTGATGAAGATTAAAGGCGACCTGGAACCATAAGCTATAGCATCCCAAACCATAACTCCAACAGTGTGATGAACATGTCTTTCAACAAAAAACTGTTGATTCCTCCTTTCACCACGTCGCCTTCTAACCCTGGCATGACCATCGGGCATGCCTAAACAAAATCGAGACTCGTCACTAAAGACAATACTGTTCCATTCCTGATCCCAGAGTGACCGTTGTCTGTACCACTCAAGGCGATTACGTCGGTGTTCTCGAGTTAAAGGGAGGACCCAGTGTGGCCGGTATGAAAACAAGCCAAAACTTTTCATTCGTCGGTAAACACTTCGCATGCCGATAGGTCTTCCGTGTTCTGCAAACCATTCATTTGCAATGGACCTGGTAGTGGAGAAACGGTCCCTTAAGGCCAATAATCTTAGGCGGCGATCTTCACGGTCTGTTGTTCTACGGCGGCGTCCAGTGCCCCTTGCTCTTTGCGTACGGCCTTCTCGAAGCCATGCCTGACAACACCTAACCACAGTGTCTACACTTCCTTGCACTCTAACTGCAATTGCCCGAAAAGAAAGTCCAGCTTCCCGAAGTCCCACTATACGGCCCCTATCAAACTCACTAAGTTGACGAAATCGTACAGGTCTCCGTACTCTAGGCATCGTAGCCGATCGTAAAGGATGTCAAGAACCAAAATCCGCCAACGTTGATTCTTTACTGCGGCTGAAATATTCATTTTTAGAGCGTTAGTGAATTAAAAAAAAGCAGTGTAAAAACCGGAATGTCCAACTGATAAGGCTGAAAATTTTTTCACTTGTTATTTACAGTAAGATAAATACATTCACCAACTTTTATTAAAATAAAACCATTTAAACTGGGTGTTCGGATTTATATGTCACTTAGTATATTTGATATTGTCCACTCTGTCAATTTTTAAATTTGTATTGTTTATTTTGAAAGAAATATTTGAATAATCGTGTAGATGTCTTGAGTATGTGATGTGAAAGGTAGAAAATGTAATAACAGTCATTCCACGTTTGCTCACTAGAATCGTTGTGAGCGTCCATCAATGAAGGAACGACTCAACTACACACATTGTTGGTTGGGTACGTTTTGTGAAGCCGAGTAGTCTGTATTTTTCATCTTGGCGAAGAAAGTTGGTTGAGTATCAAGATCGCATCTGGATGATTACGTGTATAGGTCTGCATGTGTATAAAATCAGTGATATTTGGGTATATCTATTAGCTGTGCCCGTGTCACTTATTATAGTTACTGAGGAACTGAGGTCAACATCTATTAAGTCGTTTTCAAGATATTTCGAAACATTCTGAATTTAGGATACGTTCGTAGTGAAGATGCTGACTGCAACGTTTCCTTCGCTACCTCGATGAGCGCATTCCTCAATGTCACCGCGTTATAAGACAAAATAATGTCTCAAGATGGTGACTGTGAGGCAAAACAAATATTTTGTTTTTTCGTCGCTGTCAGGGGGAAGCATCGGGGTGGGCTCGATTGTGATTGATTCCTCCAAGTTCATGCTCATTTCGATGATACTCTCAACAGAGAAGGGAGAACATCGACAATGACTCAACATGAACACCATCAATCCATCGAGATAACATCAAGAAAAGTCGCGAACAAGCGCTCGTTGGGGTAGCAAAGAAAGGATCACATTTCAAGTTTTCCACATCTATCCTTGGTAGGTAACAGACTGCTCAGAACTTCCAAACTATTGTTCAATGTAAAATGTCCCGGGATGTAAGCCATATGACCGCAATAAAAGCCCTAGGATGATTGTTTTTTATTTGCAAGCATGTATCTGACCTGTTTCTGAACGGTCTAACTATTGTGGATGACCTAGTATTCAGAGATATTAAAAGTAGGGCTGTAAAACATGATCGTAAAAACCAAGAATAATGTTTTTGCAGTACCTGTAGCTGAAAAAGGAAATAAAATATATTCCTGAAGCCGTATAATCAACCGTAGTTTTGTTTTGACTATCTGTACCATGCTCATTAGCTGCATACCTCTATACGAGTATATGGTAATAGGTATTACGATATTCATAGGAAATCTCTAGCACCCTTCTATGTTATATACAACCTAAATGAAACATGTATAACCTGTTTCCTATGGGAAAATTGGTGTACTCTTCATAACTACTGAAGGTAGTAGCATGCCTTTATTGTGTAGCTGTAGAGGTAACATTAAGAACACATGTAAATTCTTGTCACTTTACTACGATTCCTTTTGCTTTGTTCATAATTTGACGATTGAGTTGGTAGTTGTGCTATATGCTGTTATATTCTCTGTTAAAACCGATTAAGTACTCTGAAATATCGTTTAGCTTCCAGTATATGAAGTAGAGGTTGAAACAGCGAACAAATTTACCGTGGGAAAAAGCGGTATCCTATTATCTTTAAGGTTTGAGTTTTATGTATACCAATCATTTTTCGTGAAAAATCCACTTCATAATTATCACTGAAATCGACTTAATCTATTCCACAATCAAGAAATAAAACGATTTGAATGGTCAATTTGTTTGCAAAAATGACCTAATTTTCAAAATGTTCCACGGAATCGAGCGTTTCATAAATATTTCTGTAAATATGGCCATTAATGTGTCTTCTCCAACATGCCATATTTTTATTACCAGAACCAAACGTGCGTTAGAAAAGAATGACAATTCCAAGGGTTTTTGGTTTATTTACTACAAAGCTACAATTTTGTACTGTCACTCTCTAATATTTTTATGTATAATGCAAAACGTTGCTACTATACCGAGATCCCAACGCATATTAATTGCCAAGAGGACTTAAATTTGGTATTCGTAATAATCCAATTATTATTTGTCTAACATTAACAAGTTCAATCCAATATTACATTAAAACAGCATAAGTTACAGCTTATAAACGTTAGTTAATCAACCACTTTGTTCATATGACTCAACCCACATTTTTGATTAATTGAATTTTCGGTTTCGCATTCAGAAAACCTTCTTTCAGAACTTTAGTTATAAGCAAAATCCGGAATACAGTCAAAACAGCTAGTTAATTCATGGAGCTGCTGACATTTTGGTCAATATACTAACATATGTGCGTATCTTCGTCTGAGTCGGCAATATCAGATTTGATAACAATTGAAATTTGACGATCGCACAAAGTTCGTTGAGTAGGAACATTGTAAGAGAAAACTCCAGAAAAACAGGTTTTTACGGGATACTTCCTGAACGTATAAAGCGATTGCCGACTGTAACGTACGACCACTAACGACGTTTATCCATCCCGGGGACCTCGTCGCACGTATCCCGACTGTAGGTGATATTTGTAAGTTCTATGATGAATGAAATATGCTTAATATGAGCGTAGAACTACTGGGGTTTTCAATTCGAATTTTTAACTGCTACAAATTTTTTTCGGAAAATGATCAGGATCGTCTGGAACGTCAAAAAAAACGAAGTTTGAGCGATTTTAATTTTTTTTTTGTATTTGGCATTTTTCTCGTTCGCCACTGGATCCATTTTGCGTCCTTGGTATAGTAGCAATATTGTTTACAAATTTTATCGAAATCCCTGCGATACTTCTCATGCTATGATATTATATAAGAGACGAAAATGAGTGGTTTTTCGTGATGTATATGTCATATAACATCCAAAAAACATAATATCTCATTTTCAAAAATTTTCGCGTGGCCAGTAAAAATGAACTTCAACGAGATATGCTGGTAACAATACTGTAACGCCCTCGTAAGTGGGGCCTT